GCAATAACGAACTCTGACGTATTTCCCCTTCAGCATGAATGGATTTTTCTTGGCATTCTGCCAGATACAGATCCCATCAGTTTGGGTACAAGTACTTGTTGGATAGTTTTTAAGTAAGAAGGGAGCGGAAATTTTTTGAAAATGTCCCTAAACAGCACAGAAGCTATACTGCTGGTTTTAAGCTTAATGTAATTTCACGTGCTGAACAAATTGGAAATCGAGCAGCAGCTTGACAGTTTGAAGTGGACGACAGATGTATTCGACGTTGGAGAACTGAAAAAGAACTTCTTAAAAATATGCCACAACAGAAACGAGCCAAAAGAAGTGGTACTGTAAGGTGGCCAAATCTAGAGGACGACCTTGCAAACTGGATAAAGGAGCAACGAGGAAAGAGAATGGCAATTTCGACTGTAAAAATTCGCTTACAAGCAAAATTTATAGCAAAACGAATGAACATAAATGTTTCAAAGGAGGTGTAGCAGATTTATGAAAAGAAAAAATATTTCTGTGCGTACTAGAACAACAGTCAGGCAACAATTACTAAAGGACTGGCAGGATAAAAAGTCATCTTTTCTAAAATATGCGACAGCTATTATTGACCAAAAAAAAAAAAAAAAAAAAACTTTGGTTGCAGATAATAAATATGGATGAAACGCCGTTAGCTTTTGACTCTCCTGCAAACAGAACTGTTGATGAAACTGGTGCAAAAACTGTATCTGTGTTTATGACGCGGAATGAAAGAACGTCATTTACATGTGTGTTAGCTTGTGCCACAAACGCCGATGATCATTTTTAAACGAAAGACTATTCCGAAGGGAGATTTTCCTAATGACGTAATTATTTGTGCAAACGAGAACAGCTAGATGTGCGAAACAATCATGCATGAGTGGCTACAAAAAGTTTGGCAGTGTCGTATGGGATCTTTTTTCCAACCAAAGGGGTTATTGATAATGGATTCCATGCGTGCTCATTTCTTTGAGTCGGTGAAAACCAAATGTCAAAAATTGACTACGACCGAAGCAATAATTTCTGGTGGTTTGACAAAAATCTTACAACCGTTAGATTTGTCAAGCAATAAATCCTTCAAAGCTGAAGTCCGAAAGCGGTGGAGTGTTGGATGAGTGAAGGATTGCATACGTAAAACAAAAGCAGTAAAATGCATAGAGCATTATGAAGAAATTGCAAAGTGGGCAGGAAGTGCGTGGAAATTGGTAGAAACATCGTCAATAATAGCAGGGTTCAAAGAAGCTGAAATTATATCCTTAGATAAAGAGACTGTAAACCAAGAGGATGAATGTGACGATCTGGAAGACTTAGATCAGGATTTACTAAATCTTTTTAATTCAAATAGTGAAGAATCATGTGATGGCTTCATATGATGTATAGTTTGCTGTAATTCGTAAGTAAAATTTAAAATTTCCTTTTGTCATCCAAATTTAATATTTCGTTGCTGCAACATTTTTTATAATATAGTCTCAGTATTACAAATATGGACTTCTTTAGTGGGTAAATATAAGTATATACGTGAAGGTAAATATATTTTCCACATTTCTTACCTTTAATTTATTTTTGAGTTATGGTTTCATTTCATGCATTTTTCTTAAGTGGTATGTCATATATCAGGATTTAGTTGAGTTTTTGCATCTATACGGCCCACGACGATGTCACGCGCAATTTAATCTATTGCGGCGTTTACGCTGATGCAGCGTTTCTGTGTAATTTTTATTTTTTCCCGCCATTTTTCTCGAGTGCGACGTTTACGCTGATGCGGCCTTTCTTCCGGAAATTATGGTAACTTAATTTTGTTAAATATATATATAATTTTTTTTCAATATCCGTTAACACAAAAATTGTTTAACATGAAAAAATACTTCAGTTCCCTCAGTTTTGTGTTAAAAGATTTTTACTGTATACTGATTATATTTTGAAAAGGAATGAAATGGAAAAAATAATAAATAAAGCATTTTATTTTTCATCATAAAATAAAAACATCATATTATTTAGCAATTAAAAATAAAAGAATGAAATATGGTCAGTTTATTTCTTTCATGCAGATCTTTAGAATTATATTATTTTTAGTTGTCATTCTGTTTTTCAGTACAGATTGACAGCACTGAAGTAAACTCAATCAATTATTTATGTATTTTTCTTTTGTCTTTATTAAAAAATTTGATGACGGGACAATCGCACTGTAGCAGTCATCATATACCATATATTTTTTCATGTATCGCCCCCTTTTTAAATAATTTTATCATCTGAAAATTGAGAGCAAAAAATTATGCAAGGAGTTTAATTTCTGAAGAATGCAGTAAGAACATAATTTAAAATTAGTCATAGATAAACTACTGGGAAATATCACAATATTATTTCTTCAAACGAAACTTACATTCCAATAAGAATACACAATATTAATATTATAATATAGCTCAGAAAGATTATTAATAATCTTGCTTAGAAAAGCTTTTACATCTCTAGAGGCTGCAGTCAGCAAAATGCATCTAGCAATCAACCAAAATAAAACTAAATGCATGCCACGTGGTAATAACAGCAATCCCTATTTTGAAATTGGGAATTACAAATTTGAAACTGTTAGCAAATTTCAATATTTAGGATCAGAAGTTCATACTCTCAATGATTTAATGCCTGAAATTTGCAGTAGCGTCACAGATGTTAACCGATGGTTTTTCAGTCTAAAAAAAAAACTTGAAGTCTAACTTCATTAGCAGAAAAACAAAGATTTTAATTTACAAAAGCTTAATTAGACCCATTCTTACATACTTTGCTGAGACCTGGGCAATGACAGAAAAAGCTAAAAGTATTATTTCTGTCTTTGAAAGAAAAATTTTGAGAAGTATTTTTGGTGGCATAAAATGTAACAATATCTGGAGAAGAAATAACTCTGAACTCTACATCTTCTCGACCGGACCATTTGGCACTCGAAAAAGAGGGAGACCTAAACTTAAGTGGCTCGACTGTTTGGAAACAGACTTAAGAATTTTAAAAATAACCAGTCCATGGCCAGGGATAGAAGAGCTTGGAATTTGATTCTGAGGAAGTCAAAGGCCTATCCTGGGCTGTCTGGCCATTGAAGAAGAAGAATACTATAATATCTGATGGATAATGAGCCAATATTTGACGGATATCTGACAGAGTTGTGCATGACATGTCTGGCTCAATTACCATATATCTGCTTTAAATAAAGAATTTCTCAGTGAAGTATCACGTCTTATCTATTACATACACTGAAAATCTGTATAAATGTTGTTCTCAATCATATACTACTCTTAAATATCGAATTTAAGAAGGTTTGGGTAATATCACACTATATTATTTAACGAAAATCTGTTCAGAGCTTCAGTTAAAGTGTCACTTCCAGTTAAAGAAATTTAACGCAAATCTAATATATTGTTTCCGACCATATGCAAGTCTTTAATACTAAATTAAAAAAGTTTTGGATTATACTGTGATACAGTTTTTCATTAAAAATTGTTACAGGCTCCAAAAAAAGTACCATTTCCCTTTGTCCAAATTTACCCAAAACCTAATCTCTGTTATACAAATGCAAAAAAGTTTAGATACAAAAAATAAAAATTTTGGAAGTTTCATATAAGAATTATTGTGGGAAAGAAAACTGTCACACACACACAGCATTATAAAAATAAAAATGTACTATGGGGACGCTAATTTGTGCTTAGTCACTGAAAACTCACTAAGTTTTTGGACCAAAACCATTACCTTCCTTACCTATATGAATATAGGTTGACGAGAGGTTATAACTGAAATCAAACATCAAAGCCAGGTGGTAAACTTATTGCTGCAAATAAAAATTAGTGTTGAATACTTATAATAATGTTAGCAATATTTAAGCATACCCTAAGCTTGCTTGATGAGGCGGCATAAAAATAATGATTTAAGATCCTGCTTATGTTATAGCCATACAATGAAAATGACAAGGTTTAATCCTAGTATCCGGTGCACACGAGATTTGGCTACTTTATGATGAGTAAAAACGGGACATATACGATGAGTAGTAAACAGGTCATTCAAAGAATATATATAGTTAAATATAGTATATATTATGTATATACACACATAGTATATAGTGTATAGTTTAAAGACGTTCTTTGGATCATTTTTGGTGTTGGCGATGATTTTCAAAATCGCGCCAAGGCTGCACCGTATACTAGGATTTTACCAATGGCAATATAAAAATGTTATCTTACAGCCATTCGATGAAAATGATAATATAAAAACGTTATCTTACAGCCATTCTAATGTCATATTTAAATTCTTTGATCATTTGAGTTAGTGAACATATAATATATGGTTCTAGGAAAAAAGGCCACACAGAAATATGACCACATGGAAAAATTCTCACTTAGAAATATGCTCACACAGAAAAGAGCTCACATGGAAATAAGCCCACTGATAAATAAAATGCGTAGAAATATCGTTACATTAATCAATCAATAATTAATCGATGTGAACATCGTACACCTACTTGAATTTTTTTAAGAAAAATTATTTGATCATTTGAAAAAAAAAAAAAAAATGCTCATATGCAGGTATAACAGTATAACCAAAAGACTGATATTTCAACATTTATATTCCCATCATTCATGATTCAACTTAGCGATTCTCAGCGCGAGAATCAATAAATACAACATAATGCCGCATAAATTAAGCATTTCAGATATTTACAAGAACTAAACCAAGCTAAAAAAAAAACGCAAGAACAATTAAGCAATTTGTAAAAATTATTCGCTAAAACTTAATCCTTGGTAAGTCTGCAAGATAAAATATTGAAAGATATAGCCTGTTTTAATATTATCAAAATAAAATTAAAAATACTGGAGTTCCAAAATTTATACATATTTGGATAAAATTTTAGAAAAGCAAACAATTTAAAATAAATAAACTTTCATGTAAAATAATTTCATAATAAATTAGAATTCTGAAGAGCCAATGGAACAATTTAAATGGGAAGGAAAAATAATTACCTCGTTGGAGCTAAGCCATTTACTTCACTGGTGTTTTCATTACCCGCATTTTGTATGCCTATAAGTAGGACGAATGAGAGAAAACTTATAAATGAAGTAATTTATGTTTAGTGAAAATTTCAAGGCCCTCAAAAGGATACTCAATTCGCTCAAGATAAAATTAATATGTTTTGTTTACTTACTAATTTGGCGGTCCAAACCGTCAGTAGACATAACATCATTATCTACAGACGAACTAGGTTTTATCTTCTTTTTTGGGCTTTCAGGACGATCTTTTGGTACGTCCGGTTCCATATTTACTTAAAAGTTTTGAAGAAAAATTATTTCATTTACAAGATATTTAAAAAACAATTTTAATGCAAACCGCACATACGTATTAAGCATCAGATAAAATTAAACTACGCAGCTTCGATACTATACAGCCTGAATTTTATCACAGCTCAGATAATCCCGGCAAGGAGAAACCTCACATGAAAGTGCAAGGGTTTATAAATCCGTAATTTGTATATTTAAAACTTTTATTTATACATGGTGAAATATCGCGAATTCTGAAAGAATTTATAATACATTAATTTTACACTTTAATTGCAATATTTAACCAATTTTATAATTAAGGATATCAGTTAAAGAAAACTAATACTTGGGAAGGAGACTATTATTTTCACTCTGACCGCAAATAACGTACCGCCAACGGCGGTAATTTTCTAAAGTTATTGCTTCGCCTTCGTTGTTTACTAATTATTTCTTTGCTTTAAAGAAGGGAAAGAAAGCAGGTTTATCGCTTCATTCATTTCATTTTCTAAAGTCACTTATAAAAATTAATGTCTCGAAAGAAAGGCCTTAGTATTGAAGAAAAGAGAACTCGTATGTTAGAAATTTTTTACGAGAAGAAAGATGTCTATCAGCTAAAAGAATTGGAAAAAATTGCTCCTAAAGAAAAAGGTATTGTATTACAGTCAGTTAAAGACGTTGTCCAGTCACTTGTGGATGATGCTTTAGTAGATAGTGAAAAAATAGGTACATCTGTTTATTTTTGGGCTTTTCCAAGTAAGGCTTACAACAACAGAAAACGTAGAATTGATGAATTGCAAAAGCAAGTGGATGAAGCTCGTAAAAAACTTAAACGATTAGATAAACAAGTTGCTGAATCTCAGTGTGGGAAAGAAGATTCTGTGGAAAGAACTAAGGTGCTAAAAGATTTGGCCGAAAGTACAGAACTAGTTAAAAGACTGAAAGCTGAAATTGAAAACTATAAAGACTGTGATCCTGATGTTTTGAAAGAAGTTAAAAAACAAATAGATATTGCCAAAGAAGCAGCAAATAGGTGGACCGATAATATTTTTTCAATAAGGTCCTGGTGCAAGAATAAATTTTTTTTTGAAGAATCTGTTATAAATAAACAATTTGGAATTCCTGAAGATCTTGATTATATTGAATAAATAAGCTGATGATTGATTTTGTTTTTGCTAGAAGAAAAATATCAACTATTTACCATTAGCATACAATGGAAAACAAACCTTAAAAATTCTGATTGTTTGAATATAAGTTTATTTTATTGTTATTGATGAGTATTCAATTTATTCATATTAAAAAACATTCCTATTTAAATTCTATCTGCTGTGTTTACAATTATATTTGTAATAACAATTGAATGTTTAGAATGCTTTTTCAAGTATTTTTTACAATAGGTTAATATTTCATATCTTTTCTGAAATGGTTTTAAAATTGTTTTTGCCTGAAATTGTAATTATGTTTATTATAAATTCATTTTAATGAACAGTTACTAATATGTTACTGTTTATAGGAATAGATATCAATCTTTATTAAAAACTGACATTTTGAACAGTATAAAAAGCATATTAATTTTATATGCAATGAAATTTATTTGCAGATTTGGAAATAATATATCACACATGTATTTAATACAATACACCAAAAATATTATAAATAAGACATGCTGTCGTCTGCTACAATACCTGTATGAGGTGTCCCTCACATTTCTATTTATCTTCTACTATAGAAAAGTTTAACTGCTGCAAAATTTACGTATGGTATATACCCGTTTAGCATCTTTTACTGAATCTTGAATTTTTGATAAAAATTCATTTGACCATACTCTAAAACTTTAAAATAAGCTGAAGCTTTTTCAGAATTATCATCATTCCATAGCTTTTGCAAATCTGGTTCGTTTATTTTCTCTCTTTTTCATGTTAAACACACTTCTTTCAGTTTGCATTTAATATTTTCTGGTTTTTCATCTCTAGCAATTCAAGTCTTTCAGCATACATATTTTCAGTTAGCGTGGAAAATACATTCTGTGATTTACATTTCTCAATGTGTACACTAAAAATTGGCTCTAAGAAGAAACATAATATAGGAGTTATTATTGGAGCAACAGCTCTAATAATAACTCCTATATGAATAGCATTTAATTCACCATTGTTGCACAAAAACTTTACTATGTTCCTGTCTTTATCAGCACAAAAGAAATTAGGAAGAATGCTGGCTCAATGTCAGCTGTTAAATGCATTTCAATTTTGACAGATTTTAAGAAGCAATGCCAGTATATCTGGACACATCATTGAATCTAAATATAAACAGACATTTAATGACAATTATCCACATGCGATGAAAACTGCTACTGTATATGAACGCTTTGCTGGAGCCCTATTGATAATTAGAGCTCTAAGTGTCTGAAGAAGAACCAAGTTATTTATTGTTGCTGCACAATTGTAATAGAAACGATTCCCCTTGAATTGGCCTCCTGACTGACATGTTCGCTTAGTTACTGTGTATCATTGTATGATGCTGATGATTACAAATTCGACAGCTTAGTTTCGATTTGCAGTCCCTAGCTAAATGAAACAATTCCCACTTCCTTTTAATGCCTTTTTCTGGTACAGTTTTTGACGTGATTCAGAACTTTCGACTTTTTTTTTTTTTTTTTTTTCTTTTTCAAAACAGAATAAACATGTTAGAAAAAGTACTTAACGTGGCTGCTCAAGGAATCCTACCATGCTCTTAATAATCCTGATTTCTTTCTAGTGTTAAATCATTATGATTCACCTTTATTAGCACTGGATACAATAAGGTACTGTATAAATCTGGCAAAATATTATATTATTCTAATCCTCTATATTTCACAATGGTCATATAATTTTTGAAGTGCTGTCATATTGCTAGATTTTTTTATTGGAGTCAGTCAGATTTAGCAAATTATTCATGTGTCAATCTATTATTAATTTCTTGCGACCAAACCGATCTTTTAATATTTTCACAACCTTCTCCTAGTTTTCTGCTGTTAATGTTAACCCTTGTATTATCGTTTTTGCATTAGAATTTACTTTTATTGTAGTTTTTGCACTAAAATTTGTCTACTGCATGTAGAATTTCGCATACAACTGTCTCAAATTACATCCAAGACTCAAGTCAACTGCACACCTCTTTTCCTGAAAAAGTTCCCAAGGCTAATTTTGATAGTTTGTTTTGTGATTCAGTGACAGTTCCATATGAAGTAGAATTAGCACTATGTGGCTTAAAATCAAAGTATATTTTTGCAAGTTATTTCCAAACAATAATTTTATTTTATACTCTTCTGTAGAAATTATTTCTTCTTCTAAATTCTTTAAGTCAATTAAATTTCCAACATCTTTATTAGCTAATATTAGTTTTTCTTCTCACTAGTTATAGGGTTTGTATGGTCTTTAGAAGTCCTTAGGTTTTTCCTTTTTTTTTTTTTTTTTTTTTTTTTTTTTTTTGAATCGAATTTTGGTCCTTAAAAGTCCTTAATTTCGGCCAAAATTGGCAGAAGGGCCATAATTTTAATCATCTGAAATTTCTGCCTGTTTTTACGACTGTCATTTTGAGTGTGAATTAGCATTTTGAAGGAATATTTTTGGCAATTGACTGATAAATATGGTTATATTTTTAAATGGGTTATAATTTGTTCCTATTTCTAATACAAGCGTTGGGATACTCGAGATTCTGGGCAAAAAGTGAAACAAAAGCATTTTTAATTTATTTAATTTTTTCTAATGAAGAGCTCTTAAACAACTTTTCGCTTTTGGTGACGTGAATTTTTTTATTAAACAGTTCTAAGTTTGGCGATTTTAAGATCAATTTCTATAGAAAAAAAATTTTTGAAGATCTGGGAATTTTTCGACTTTTTTTTTTTTTTTTTTTACACTAGAAATCAATCAAATAATTACATTTAAGAAGTAACATTAAAATGAAACATTTTTATTTTTCGCTGCAAAATTATAAAGTGATATTATTTTCCATTTTGGACACTTATGCAATATTTTGAATCTGAAAAATAAGGTAATAAAGCACAATTTGTGAATACAGTACAAAGTCCGTAATCCAGACTTGTCGGGACTTCCTGCGATTCCGGATTATAGATCAACAATTTAAATCTAGTAAGATGGAATGCAGAAATTATACAATTTCTTTCACTAAAACTTTAAGTGAAGTATGCGCCGAACAGTTGTCAACAATCAGGACTATTTTTGAGTCATCAGGTAAACCAACCGAATTCAAATGTCGCCGAGCCTCGGATATAAAATGATTTTCAAACCAATCATTCATCAACGCTTGTGTCATCCATGCTCTTTTATTTGCACGATATATAATGGGAAGATCGTGCATGTTTTCCGATTACGAAAAGTTTGCACTTGTGCGTTCCTGCAGCATTTGCTCATGCTAAAATTGTTAGTCTCACTATGGATTCTTTGACACCAGTTGGAGCCTTTTCTGTAGAGGTTGCACAGGCATTTTGCAGTACATATTGCCAGAAAAGACCAGTTTCATCAGCGTTGTAAATTTGTTCTGGAGATAATTGTTCACTAGTAATGAGTTCAATGAATTCATCTGCAAATTGTTCAGCAGCTTCAGTATCAGCTGAAGCTTTTTCACCTGAAATTTTTGTCTTATACCATGGCGATTTTTAAATTTGGTTAACCAACCTGTCGAATATGTGCACTCAGTGTTTAAGTTCATTTCTTTATGAAATATTTTGGCTTGAGCCATTAGCATTGGACACGTCAATGGCACGCCCTCGCTGACCATTCAATCATCACTTTGTCATGATCGTCACTTTTAGCATGAAGAACCCTTTTTCTGTTATTCGTTGCAAGTGGGGTGTCGGAATCCACAAAAAAATTCAAAAAGTTCCTTTTTCTTTTTGCTTATGTTATATACAATTGACTTTCCAATGTCATACTCCTTGCACAATTTTGAGACAGATATGCCTTTATCCATTTTTTACAGCAATTCCACTTTTTGTTTGATGGGCATCGAAACATGCTTTCGCTTTGTAGATCCTTTGGCAGCTCCAGAATCAGAAACTCTTTTTGACATAATCGAAAGTTCAAGCTTAATTTTTATAAAATTGCTCTAATAGTCTGCAAAAAATAATAAGCCGGATCCAATTAGAAGATTAAGGAACAGCGCAATCTGCAACATTAACTGAAATGCCTTAGAATCAGTACATATAATTTTAGCCTAGCTTATACCGTCTGTTATACATCGAACATGCATGCGTAAAGCATACAAAAAAAAAGTTTGTGGCTTTGAGGTCCGGATTACGGACTTTGTACTGCAATTCTTAGCAAAAGCAAAATTGATATGTAATTAATTAAAAATGTCTTCTTTTTAATTTTTTCATGGTTAAGAGTTTTTCCTGCGCAGTTGTCTCATAATATGCATCATTTTTCTGTATAAAATTATTTTACACACTTTTCCTCTTTCCCTTCCCCCTCAAAATATCCCTGGCATTTCACTGTTACAGGATTGGTACGGGTAATTTTTCTTTAGGATTTTAGGCATTGCAACTTGGAAAGTTTAGAAGGATTTAAAGGCAAAATTTATAGACCCAAGATTCTAGAATATTCCAGAAAAATGTCTTCATGATATTAACGCGTAATGGGTGTATTTTACAGAAAGTTTGTATTGAATTTCTTACTTTTTGGAGAATTTTTGGAAGAAAAATGGAAACATAATATTTAAATGTTTTACTTCTGACATTAAAGTCCTTTTTTTAAACATGTTTTTCTTTCCTCTATTTTCTCTACTTTTCATTTGACAAATGCATGGAAAATATCAAAAATGCTTCTAATCTTATCGCTTGTACAGACATTTACGGAAAGGAATTTTTCAATTTATAAAGAAATTGAACACTGACTATTTAAAAGATTCATCTTATATGTCTTAATCATCGTACACAGGGCTGGTGCTAGGCATTTTCCGTAAATACTAAGTTCTGTTACCTAGTGCCTTTCTAAATTTTGCTCCCATTGGCTGTCCTAAATTCTAAAAGTTTTGCTATTTCTAGATTTTTTCCTCGGTGGGTCACTAAATTCTAAAAATTTGGCCACATTGGCTCCATAACTGGGCCTCACCATGTATCATTTCATATTTATTCTAAATGTTCATATTATTAAAATAAAATTAGCAGCTTTTCCTGTGCATTTAGTTTTTAGAATAACAAAAATCTTTAATTAAATTCTAAAATGAAGAGGACATGTATTGAAGAAAGAACCTGAATACATAAAGAGAAAAAAAAAATATTCTTTAAAAGATATGTACAGTTGTTATATAAATTAACCAATTGTTTATAATTTCAGTTTTTACTGTACTATAACTTCCTCTTTCCTTTCCCTCGCCAGAATGCAAAAATCAGTTAGATAGTTTCTAAATTGAATATTTGGAGATTGTAAAACAGAGTGTGTTTCTGGCTTTGGCGTGCATGCTGCATTTGTTCCTGCCACCTCAGATAATCTGCAATTATTCATTTTTGCATTATCGTTG